GTGGATTTGTATGCCAAGTGTGGCAGCATTGGAAACGCTCGCGGGGTTTTCAATCGGATGCCTCAACGGGACGTGGTTTCCTGGACTTCTCTAGTTCTGGGATATGTGGAGAGAGGCCAGGGGGACATGGCTCTGATGCTTTTCTCGCTCATGCAACGTGAAGGTTGCGTTCCAGACGCTCGGACTTACGTCGCTGCCTTCATGGCTTGTGCGAGCCTGGCCGAGCATAAAGAAGAGTTACTAGATGGAAGAAAGGTCGAGGCTCTCCAGGAAGGAAAGCGTCTCCACTCGGAGGCTGTGAAGTGTGGCTTTCTCTCGGACAAGGTGGTGGCAAATTCCCTGGTAGACATGTACGCGCGCTGCGGAAGTATGGTGGAAGCTCGAAAAGCTTTCGACGAGATGCCGAGTCTAGACGTGGTTTCGTGGAATTCACTGCTGCTAGGATATGTTGTTAACGGGGAGAGTGAAGTGAGTTTGGAGCTGTTCGAGGAAATGCAACGCAAAGGCTGGGATCCGGACGCTCGGACTTTCGTTGCTGTTTTCAAGGCCTGCGGCAACCTGACATCCGAGAAGGAGGAATCGACGGCTGAGTGGCTCAAGCGAGGCAGTGCATTCCATCTTCAAGCTTCTCAGTGCGAGCTGGATTCTCACATCTTCGTGGCCAATAGTTTGATCGACATGTATGCCAAGTGTGGAAGCTTGGCCGACGCTCGAGCAGTCTTCGACAAAATGGCACTCCACGACTTGGTATCCTGGAACACGCTGCTCTCCGGCTACGCAGACAATGGAGAGAGCGAGAAAGCTCTCGAAGTCTACAAGCTCATGCGCAAAGAGGAGAGCTCCTCGTGCCGGCCAGACGCTCGAACTTTTGTTCCACTCTTGAAGGCCTGCTCCAACACCGCAGCTCTGGAAACTGGGAGAGCCATCCACGGCGAAGCTGTGCGGTCGGGAGTGGAAAGCAGTCCATTCCTCGCAGCCTCTCTGGTGGATTTCTACGGCAAGTGTGGAGGAAACATGGCTCAGGCGGAGCAAGCCTTCGACGTGACTCCAACCAGGAACTTGACGCTGTGGAGCGCTCTCATGGCTGGCTATGGTCGACTTGGAGACACGAACCAGGTACTTGGGCTGTTCCAGACGCTCGAGGAGACAGGCTTGCGGCTGGACGGAGCTACGTTTTGCTCGCTTCTCACCGCGTGTAGCCATGCCGGGCTGGTCGACCGGGGAAGAGAAGTTTTCCTCGTGATGGCTTCCAAGTATGGTGTTACTCCTGGCGTGGAGCACTACCACTGCCTGGTGGATTTACTGGGACGAGCTGGGCTTGTCGAGGAAGCAGTGAGCGCCGTGAAAAAAATGCCGCTCGGGCCGAGCGTGGTGGCGTGGAAGACGGTGCTGGCTGCGGCTCGGAAGTGGCAGAAGGTGGAGATTGGAAAGATGGCGTTTCAAGCGTTGGCAGCGCTGGAGGTGGAGGTAGACGAGGATCAAGCTGGATCCACGTTTGCGTTGATGGCGAACATCTACGCTGGAGCTGAGATGTGGGAAGAACAGGCACAAGTTCTCAAGCAAAAGAAGAGCTTGTTCTTGGCAACTTAAGCTCTACTTCTTCCGAAACGCTGGAAGCATTAGCACAGGAGAAGCTACGAGCGAGTGCTCTGATTCTGGGGGCGCTCAAGGCATGCAGCAGCGCCAAGGATGGGAAGATCATCCATGGCAATGCCATCCAGTTTGGAGCGATTGCGAACCTTTACGTGGCCAGTGGTCTGGTTCATATGTACGCTCGATGCGGCAGCATGGTGGATTCGCAGCGGGTCTTCGATGGGATGGTCCAGCACGATGGGGTGTCGTGGAACTCGCTGATTCAAGGCTATGCCACCAATGGGGAAATGCCGAGAGCGTTGGGCATTTTGTCGCTGATGATCTGGGAGAGTGAGAAGAGTTCTTCCGTGATTCCGACACCTCGGACCTTTGTCGCTGCACTCAAGGGGTGTAGCAAGTTGGCGGTGGAAGAAGATGGAAGGCTGGTCAATGGAAAGCTTGTCAAGGTTTCTTCGCTCCAGAAAGTTTCGGAGATTCACTTGGTGGCTGCGAAGTATGGAAGGACAGACTCGACAAGCGTTTTCGTTGGCAACTCGCTGGTGGATTTGTATGCCAAGTGTGGGAGCCTGGAGGATGCTCGTCGGGTGTTTGATCGGATGGATAATCGCGACAGGGTTTCATGGAACGTTTTGATGGCCGGATGTGCTTTTCACGGGGAGGAGGAGGCGAGTTTGGAGCTGTTCGAGCGGATGCTACTCCAGGGCTATGCAGCGAACTCTCGGAGCTTTGTCACGGCACTCAAGGCCTGCTCGAGTCTGGCAGAGAAGGAAGAAGCGATCAAGGGCTCACGGGATGGACAGTTTGTGAAGATCGTGGCTTTGGAGAAAGCTATGGCTATACACTCGCAGGCTGAGAGACTTGGCTTGGATGTTTACATGGCCAGCGCAGTGATCAGTCTATATGCAAGGTGTGGAAGCATCGTGAACGGGCTAAAGGTTTTCGACAGGATGCTGTGCCGTGATCTCGTGATGTGGAACACGATGATTCTCGGGTGTGCCGAGAACCATGACGCGGAGCTCTCTTTGGAACTGTTCGAGGCGATGAGCAAGCATAGCTGTGAAGCTCCGAATGCTCGAACTTTAGTTGCGGTGCTCAAGGCATGCGTATATCTGGCCGAGAAAGAAGAAGAAGCGCAGGAGATTTGTGGGAAGAAGATTAGAGTCATGCTGCTCGAGCGAGGCATGGCTTTGCATGCTCGAGCCAAGGCAACCATGGAACTCAATGGCTTTCTAGCTTGCGCTCTCGTCGACCTGTACTCCAAAAGTGGGAGCTTGGTGGACAGTATGGCCGTGTTCGAAGCTATGGCGCATGATCCAGATGTTACGTTGTGGACTGCTTTGATCACCGGGTGTGCTGACAATGGGGAAGAAGATCTAGCTCTTGAGCTCTTCTCTCAGATGCAAAGTCATGGAGGTTGTGCACCGGACGCTCATAGTTTTGTAGCGGCAATACGAGCTTGCGGGTCTAGCTTGGCAGCAGCGAAAGAATCCAGGGAGACGAAAGTGCTCGTGTGCTTGGAGAGAGGCATGGCTCTCCACTTCGAAGCTGCGAAACAAGGATTTGTATCGAACAAGTTCCTGGCCAGCGCTCTAGTCGACATGTACGTGAGATGCTCGAGCATGGACGATGCTCGCAGGGTTTTTGCTGCGATCCAGCGTCCGGAGGTGGCAACTTGGAACACACTGCTTCTGGGATACGTAGAAAGCGGGCAAGGGGAGCTAGCTCTCGAGACTTACGAGCAAATGAAAGCTCGCGGTGGTCTGGAACCGAATGCTTCGACTCTTGGCCTCGCACTGAGGGCCTGTGGAGTGGCGAGAAGATTGGAAACTGGGAAGAGAGTCCATGGTGAGCTATGCAGGAGAGGCCTTGAAAGCGATGCTGTTCTAGCAACGTCGCTCATAGATTTCTACGCAAAGTTTGGCAGTCTAGACAACTCTCGCCAAGTGTTCGACTCGGTTTCTACAAGGGACGTGATCACCTGGAACGCATTGATAGCAGGATGGAGCAGCCAGGGGAGCTACACGAATTCTCTTGCATTGTTCTACGCCATGCAAGACGAGGATCTAAGGCCCAGCAGTGTCACCTTCGTCTCGCTTCTCAACGCTTGCAGCCATGCCGGGATGGTTGAGAGGGCGAGGAAGATCTTTCGTGCAATGGAGGAGTCGTCCAAGTTTGCCGTGACGCCTGGTATCGAGCACTATGGCTGCATGATCGATGTGCTTTGTCGAGCAAACCAGCTCGATGACGCAGTGGCTATGGTGCGAGGCATGCCTGTGGAAGCCAATGCCGTGGCCTGGACGATCATTCTCAACGAGTGCTGGAAGCGGCAAAACTTGGTGGTGGGAGCGCTTGCATTCGACGCACTACAGAGAATGGGTTTTACCACATCCTCGGCCTTCACCTTGATGACCAGAACTGAAGGAGCTGGACAAAGTTTATAAAGAGACTTCATCTATATCAAACACGTACAAGCAAGCTAGCTGTTTAGCTGGCGAGCCGATCCACATCGTCGTGCAGGCCCTGTTTGATAATCAAAGCCCGAGGTTTGCTTTGTATCTTTCCATTTGCTCGAGTAGAAATCTTATCTTGTAAGTTTTTTCTTGGCTTAATTTTCAATTTCTGGTCTTATAGACTCAGCAGCAAGCTGAAAGAAGAAAAGTCAAAGTGAAACACTGAGCACGAGAATTTCAGTCAAGCTGTGTTTTTTATATATGTTTTGATCTTACAAGAAAAAACAATGCAGGAGATATACTCTTGTTATTCTCAATTGTCAAAAAAAAAAAAAAAAGTGGAGTGCGTGCCTGATCCAAATTTTAGGCCTTCAAACAAGTTCCCTCCCGAGACCTTGATAAGAATGGCTACGAAAATTAGTGTGTTGATTCTTGTTCTTCCTTTCTAACTAATTCATTTTCTTTGAATCGAATTGGATCAGGGGATTTCTTTTTACTATGCTTGACACATATGTCATGATTAGAGCACGCTTTCTCTCCTATGCTCGATCGAGTTCAATGCGTGGGTTGATCCGGGCTGAGTCTTGCATCCTGAAAAACTCTGGTCATGGCGTCGATCGATGCTCAAACTAAAATCTGTTCGTTAATCGATGCAGCTCCTTATGCGGGATCTTAAGTCCTGGACGTCGATGATAGCCTCTTTTGCTTTCCAATGGAGATTCTCGCCGATCCAAGCATGGTCGCCTAGAATGCAATGCTAGCTGCGTATATTAGGAATAAGATTGTGTTACAGTCCGAGATGGAGGAAATTTCTACTGCCATGCCTGGATATTGCAAACCAGAAAAGTCATAGTGGAACACAGTAAGCTGGTCCCGCGGTATTGACTCTATCGCAATTATTTTGTCAATCGTTTTTACCAGTCTCCAGTCTAAAAGTAAAGAAATAACATCAAGAAAAACTCAGAAAAATCATTTAGAAATCACAGTAGTTCGTCTGAAATAAAATACGCTCCTCTTAGTGTACATATTTAGAGTCAAGGCTTAAAACAACCAGCAACCACCGTTCCTCTGTCTCTGAAACCACAAGGAGTCCAGAAATAATTTATGCGCATACAAGGTTATTGGATTGAACTCCAAGATCCATGACTTCAATTCTCTTCTTTAGACAGCTTGCTTATGTTCGAGGCAGCAAAAGACGCCTCCCAATTCTTTCCATCGAAGCACTTGACTTGGACGTCGCGCAGCGTGCCAGGATCCACACAATGCACAGTCACAGACACCCCGTCCGGATTGGAGCGCGGCTTATAGTAGGAGCAGATCCCACACACCTTGCAAAACAGATGCTTGGCCTGGTGCGTCCCAAACGTGTAGAGCGAGAGCCACTCCTCGGATCCGGGCTGAAGCCGAAACCTGGCCTCAGGAACAATGAAACTCGTGTTCCTTCGCATGGCACAATTGGAGCAATCGCACTCCCACACAACAACGCTGGCCGGGGCGTCCACCTCCCACCGCACGCGACCGCAGTGGCAGCCGCCCTTGTGTGTCACAAGGCCCTCCATCGCACAAACACAAGCTCACTAGATCACTGAATTCTCTATACCCGAGGATAACGCTTTTACGGAATTTCCCAACTTTTGCAATAAAAGCCATCACAATCACACCTGATTCTAATGCTTAATTGTGAAGGCTCCTCATATAAATCCTACATACCTTCACATTTTAACAACGCTTTGTGGTGCTTACTTGATTAAAGTGAGACCATTTGGAGGTCCCACTTAAAAAGCTGGTCCCGCAGTATTGACTCTATTGCAATTGTTTTGTCATTCGTTCTTACCAGTTTCCAGTCGAAAAGTAAGGAAATAACATCAAGAAAAACTCAGAAAAATCATTTAAAAATCACAGTATCTTTCTGAGTTCATCTGAAATAAAACACGCTCCTCTTAGTGTACATATTCAGAGTCAAGGCTTAAAACAACCAGCAACCACCGGTCCTCTGTCTCTCAAACCACAAGGAGTCCAGAAATAATTTATGCGCATACAAAGTTATTGGATTGAACTAATGGCTAATGTCCAAGATCCATGACTTCAATTCTCTCCTTTAGACAGCTTGCTTGTGTCCGAGGCAGCAAAAGACGCGTCATTCTTTCCGTCGAAGCACTTGACTTGGACGTCGCGCAGCGTGCCAGGATCCACACAATGCACAGTCACAGCCACCACGTCCGGATTGATGCGCGGCTTAAAGTAGGAGCAAATCCCACACACCTTGCAAAACAGATGCTTGGCCTGGTGCGTCCCAAACGTGTAGAGCGAGAGCCACTCCTCGGAGCCGGGCTGAAGCCGAAACCTGGCCTCGGGAACAATGAAATGCGTGTTCCTTCGCATGGCACAATTGGAGCAATTGCACTCCCACACAACAACGCTGGCCGGGGCGTCCACCTCCCACCGCACGCGGCCGCAGTGGCAGCCGCCTTTGTGTGTCACAAGGCCCTCCATCGCTCTAGATCCACAAACACAAGCTCACTAGATCACTGAATTCTCTATACCTGAGGATAACGATGCCAAAATGAGAACAGTGTTTACCTATGGACTCTTTTTTTATCTTTAGTATGATGACGCCGACCTCGAATCGCGATGAGCAGTATGAGCTACGTCGGTACGATCGGCCTCGTCGAGGGCTCCAGTAGGGAGAGTAGCCAGGCGACGCTGAGCGTTCCCTTCTGCCACGAGAAGATGGGGAGTATCCCCTCCTTGAAGAATGCCTGTACTCGCTGCGTCTCCTTGAGTAGGCTGTCGAAATCAAACATGGAAGTCATCAAAGAGACGTAAGAAAAAAGGAAAGAAACAGAGGCTTGAGAAGCGAAGGAACTTACAGACTTCTCCTATGCAATGTGGCAATTTCTCAGAGAGGCCAAGTTTTTCAGGAACCCAGCTATCTGGGTTCAAATCCTGGCAATGGATGCAAGATTTTCCTTTTCTTTTCCATCTGATTCAATTCACCGCAGTTTCAATTAGCATTCATGGCGTGGAACACCAAAACTCGTGCATGAGTGCTGTGTGGTGTGGATGTAAGAGCAACCTCAACAGCTTTGCAGCATGTCCAGGAGAGAGGATTTTTAACCCAATTTTCAGTACTGATTTCCTTTGAAATTATTCAGAGATGAAGTAGTTTCACAACACCCATTATGAAGCACCAAAACATTTGGAAGTGCTTTGTTACAATGTTCGCACCTACGGTGAGAATATATAAAGATAGAATTGCTTAACCCTGGCCCCCGTCATGTCTATCACGCGTTAAGTCGGTGCGTTTCATGGCTGGATTTGACATTTCCATTCGTTAAGTCGGCGTGTTCCATGGCTGGATTTCGTTAAGTCACAGCGGCTTCGCTCCATCCATGGCAGCTTGTCGCTAAGTTCTTGAGCTAGAATAATGCACCATCTTTGTTAAAATGCAGAGAAACAGTCTGTATGTCTTGCTATTTAACTATTACTTATTGGAGTCTTCCACCACGTAAGCGCTGAGAGTTTCCATGATGTATATTTTAACATAGTGGATTGATATTGGAGCGAACAAGGAGTTGCTGGAACTTGGGCATTGCATCAGACCCATCTTGAAACACAAACCAAAGAAACTTTTTTATGAAGTCCAGATTTAAGAAAAGAATCAACGTGAATCCCCCACTAGATACAACAGTTTAGAAATCCTTTTTCACCAGACCAAGCAGCATCCATATCTGGGTTTGCTTTCAAGGCCACCTCGCACAAAGCTCTTCTTCTTCTCGCAGAACTCCCTAGAACTTGCTCTGAGACATCACTTTGAAGTGTTTGTAAAGCAGCTTTTCCTCACTCAATAACTTATATGGTGAGGACCATCATTTGCTTGGACATATACAACAGGCAATGTTATTGGTAGGTTTTCACTGCCAAACTGCTGAAGTTCATCGTGGGCACCTCGGTCACCGGCGTCACGGGCAGCACCTGGATGCCCAGCCGGACCTCCAGCCACTCGGGCGGACCGAACCAGAGAGCCGTGTCGCGCTTGTTGGCCCAGAGCACCCCGATCATCCGGTTGCGCGCCACAAACTCGGCCTCGTACAGCTCGCTGCCCAGCGGTACGTGCCACAGCGACTGCACGGCGTGCGTCTCGAAGGCCACCAGCGTGACGCCGAGCTCGGCCAGCGCCGCGTCGTGGAAGGCGGAGCCCAGCAGCGACGCCGCGTAGTACGAGTTGACGGCCTCGCTGGTGCTCTCCTGGTTGCGGCCCTCGGCGAAGTTCTTGAGCCACGAGTGCATGAGCCAGTGGTGATCGTTGTACATTCCAAGGCCAAAGTCGGCACCACTGTTGGCAGCACCGTCGCTGCTCCCCACTGGCGATCGTAGCCAATGCTGTTACTCATGTTTAGATTGACAGCGTGGTTACTGTCCAGCCACTGCGGCTATGAGCGCGAGCCGCGCAGCACGGGCAGCGGCCTTGCCGAAGAAGTACGTGGACGAGTTCACTATGACGCCCGGGAGGTCATATAAGGCATACAAGGCCATCTGGAGTGGCAGAGGTGATGGCATGATCAAGTACGTGATAGGGACTCCTAGTTTTGTCAAGAGCGTTAGTAACCACTGCGGTTGGTTATCTTTATTACAAAGCATCAATGCTATGGAGATGGCTTAAACTCAAGACACTCAGTGTGAGAAGACTCACTAAATAAAAGTTCTAAAGCAAACTGGAGCTGATATATTATTTTTCTTTTTGTTTTCTTCTGGGTGGAGTCTTGAATAGGGAAGAAATAAGAAGAAAAGATGGTGACTTTGTGCATTTATGCAAATTGGAAATCTCAACAGATGGCATGTTGTGGAATGGAAAGTAATATTGCATTCAACCATTTTGTTTAAGGATTTGAGTCAATTCTTTTGAACCTGAATTTCTTTTTATCTGTAAGAGTCTTAACCATGTTGGTTTCACCAAGAACCAGTATATGCTCCTGTGTGGGGAACGATTTGTGAAGGCCCCTTGTAAAGTGCTGCGTGAGGCGTTCATTTTGGCATACATCAAGGATCTTAAGGCTCTTGCGTCGCTTGAGGATTTTGAAAGCGAGGAAGATGTTGAAATGGTTCTATGGTTGAGGACTGAGACGGTGCACATAGTTGTGGACTATGCGAACTTGATGGTTTGCGATCGAAGTAAGAGCCTTTGGTCGCAAAGGTGAAGGCTCCGGTTCCCAGGCTGTCACAAACAACCACCCAAACGTTGGTGTGTTATCCAGGGAGATTCCGAAGAAGCTTCAGTAGGAAAACTTCCGAGTTTAAATTCAGTCCGGTTTTGTGTTTGTTTCTCGCTCTGCAGGAGGATGAAGCTGTCGCTTACTTGAAGCATACATCAGGCAAAACCGAAGAGGTGTGTCAATTACGTGCAAGGAGGATCCATCATTATACTGGCTGGGTGCCGGGGCTGCTTTCGCAATACCTGACGAAAAAATGCGTAGTCAAGCAGACTAGGAGATTGCTGCTAAAAGGTGTTTCGGATGCTTTGCATTCGGACGACGAGGTTCTCACAGCTGTCGCAGAAGGGCGTTTGAAATACGAGCTGTCAGATGCTTTGGATTCCGGGTGCTACTTCTGAGGGCAAGATGGCAAGGGCCGCTGCTTGGCACCATCAATGCTGCATGGCCGCTAGAGAAATCCTCGATTTCATTCGTTATGAAATATCAATTAAATTCCTTTCACATATGCACGTGACGTGGCAATCTTGGCTTATGTGGCAAGTGATGTGCCACATCACTTGCCGGAGGACCCTTGGTTTTTTTTATTTCTTTTTCTTTCGTCTAAACTTTGCTATGCAGGTTACTTTGGGAACGCCTAAGTCGATTACAAACAATAGATGGCCTTCTCTTGGTACGAATTGGAAGGCAGAAGAGTACATAAAGTTTGTCCTGCTACAGACGACAGTTGTGGCTCTCGAAACAGAGACTCGCTGGAGGCGCTGGAGGAGAGAGGCAGCATCCAGGTATTGAAATCCAGTACCTCCGATCTGATCTTTTGGCCACCATGGCGATTCCAAGTCCTTAGCTGCCGCTGCATGCTCTGCGGATATTGGAGCTCCGATCAACATCGCTGATGAAGAGGTGGATTGCGATGAAGAGGTGAATGAAGAGGTGAATCTGGATGAAGAGGTTTTAAATGTGGTGACCAAGCAGGATGCCGGTGATGCAAATTCCTGACAACAAAAGTTGGAACTTCATATTTCTACGATAAGAACAGGTTTTGTTTGTGATCATGACAATCTCGTCCATACTCATATTTTTATGCAGGTATCAACTCAGATTTCCTCCTGTAAAGAGAACGGCCCAGGAGATGCTAGCAGCGATTGATCAATAAAAAAATACAAAGGACTTGACAAAAGTAAAGAGGACATACTAACAGCTGCTGGACTGAGTGGAGAGTCAATCTTATGGAGGCTCCATCATCTATACTCCTTCAATCCTATCTCAGTTTCTCATAGATCCCATGCGCCGACTTTGCTTGAACCTTTTCAAAATATTTTGCGATTACTTGCTTTCGCTCACGACCATGAAGGATGGTATTGATTCTGCTCTGGAGAAGGTATGATCCTTGGTTTTTTTATTTCTTTTTCTTTCGTCTAAACTTTGCTATGCAGGTTACTTTTGCAGCGCCTAAGTCGATTACAAACAATAGATGGCCTTCTCTTGGTACGAATTGGAAGGCGGAAGAGTACATAAAGTTCGTCTTGTTACATAGACAGTTGTGGCTCTCGACACAGAGACTCGCGATATTGGTTGT